AGAGCTTTGTAGGATATAATATTCTGGGCTGGCAGTTTTTCTCTCTTAGTACCTGGGCTATATCTCGCCATTCCCTTCTAGCCTGTAGGGTTTCTGATGAGAAATCTGCTGTGAGTCTAATTGGAGATCCTCTGAGAGCAATCCGAAATTTCTCTCTTGCACATTTTAGCATCTTTACTTTATGTTTCACTGCTGTGAGTTTGATTATAATGTGTCGTGGTGAGGATCTCTTTTGGTCATGTTTACCAGGGTTTCTATGAGCTTCCTGTACTAGGATGTCTCTGTCCTTCTCCAAACCCAGGAAATTTTCTGCTAGTAGCTCACTAAAAAGGCATTCTAATCCTTTCTCCCTCTCCATGCCTTCACGAACTCCTAGAACCTGAATTTTGAATTTTTTAATAGTATCCTGTAGATTCCCAACAATATTTTTTAGATTTCTAATTTTCTCTTCTTTGGTTTGACTGTATACTTTCCTGTGCTCTGTCTTCTAAGTCTGATATTCTCTCTTCTGCTTCACTCATTCTGTTTTTAAGGCTCTCTACTGTGTTTGTCATTTGATCTATTGTGTTTTTCATTTCATTTTGATTTCTCTTCAATATCACACTTTCCTGTTCTACTAGTTTCTCCATTCACTTTGATTCCTCCTTAAGATTTCATTTTCATGAGATATTTTCTATCCTGTCCAGTAAGGATTTCTGTAGCTCAAGCATTTGTTTTTGAAAACTTCTAAATGTTCTTATAAATTTTTTAGATCCGTTTCTTGCATTTCTTCTGTCTCATCATCTTATAATCTTGGATTGGAGTGTCTTGTTCATTTGGGGGGCATCACAATGTCTTCCTTGTTCTTGTTTCTTTGGTTTCTGCATTTGTTGCTTGGCATTGTGAAGATATTCTTTGGATTCTTCATCCTTCACTGTGGTATTTTTTTCTTGTTACACTATGACTGTAGATTAAGTGGACTGTCTCCTTTTGATGGAGCCTTAGAAGCTGGAGATGGGTGTGGCCAGAGAGCTCTGTTTGGTTCTTCATTGTTAAGGGTGTGACAAAGCTGACACACCCAGGTTAGGTGTGGTAAATCTCTCTCTTTTTTGATTCAGAAGAGCAGTAATTCCACACAGCTGAGCGGAATTGAATGTAGTAAGCTTCCAATCTCCGGCTCCTGTGGGTATAACATTTGCCTGCTCTTTCCCAAGGACCACACAAAGAATCTGTGCTGCCCTCAGTGTGGGCTCAAATTCTCCTGTAGTCTCCCACTGGGTTGCCAAGGTTACCGAGTTGTAGCATCTCTGGAGAGTGCTCACGTGAACTGCATGGGTTCTCTCACTCACCGTCTCTTTTTCACAGTCTCAGTTCATTAGCTCCACACATTCACTAGGTCCTAACTTCCTGTTATTCCACCCCCCACCCCAGAGTCAGGTTTTTCTGCTTGGCTGAGTGTGGGCGCAGCCCTGAGGTTTGAGACTGGTGTCCGTATCAGTCCCTTTTTTTTCCCTCTCTCCTCTAGCTAGCCTGGTGAACTTTCCCCCATGGGGCTTCAAGCCTTGTTCCCTCTAGGCTCCTCCTTCCACTTTCCCACCGGTGTCTCAGGTTACTGAAGTTCGGCTCACCTCGTGTTCCAGCACTGGTGCATAGATTCCGTGGCTGGTGTCCCAAGCCATGTGCTCCTGTGCCCTCCACACAGGTCCACTGTGAATCACTAGTTCTGGAAGAGTTTCCTCTGCTGTTTCTTCCCCAACTCTTCCTTGAACCTGCAGTACCTCCACTTTTATTAAACTGTCTCTTCCTGGGCTATCAGTGTGCACCCTTCCTATTCCACCATCTTGCCTCACTCCCCAGTCTGCATTTCTTAGGGATAAAGATGTGGCATTGAGGTGAATATATCTTTGGCCCACAGAGAGTTTGATGTCACTCTCCTGGGTGATTGTGATAGTCAAGGCCTTGCTCTCAGTGCTCAGGGAGACAAAAGTAGCTTTCTTCTTGCCCTATGGCAAGCTTGAGTGAACCTGGGCACCAATTCCTGAGGCTCTAGGACTGTGTGATGTTATAGATGCTTCTTCAGGTCCTGCTTGGAGATTGTAACTTGTGCTATGGCCTATAAGACCAATATCCCTAATCCAGGTGCTAGTAGACATGAACTAATCTCTGCTCCAGCCTTACAGAGTGACTTCAAGTTCTAGAAATTTTCCTCCGGAGGATGTGAGTCCAGAGAGATAAAATTCAGGTAGGTTCTTCCCTAGGTCCATAGTGTAGATTACAGTGACATCCAGAATTTTAAAACTAATTATTATGGTCCTGGTGTTACAGGGTATGGTGGATATTATCCAGATGTCTCAGGGCAGGAGAGATTTTTATGAGATGCTTCTGGTGTTAGCCCCCAGAAGCTAAGCTGAGTTCTTCCGTCACACAGAGTGCATAGCTTTGGGGCTAATATTCCAAAACTCTGACAGTTGCAGGATGCAAGGCATTTGTCCTTTGCCCCATTCATTGTTCTGGCCCTGACTCTGATTCTGGTAGGAGCAGGACATAGACATGCTGCATGACTCTTCGTGCCCAGTATGACACTCTGTGGGAGTAGGGGAGGGGAATGAAGCAATGAAAATTCCCTGCTCCAGTGCCCACTATTACTATTACTCAGTACCCCAGCTGAAGTAGAAGTCTGGTTGACTGTGAAATTCTGTCTCAGCTGAAACTGTGAGTGGTGTGCTGCATGCCAATTTCTTCCTACCTTGAAGTGGTAAGATTGCAGCTCATAGCCTGTATCTGGTTGCAGTTGTGTCTCTCTCTTCTATTTCTTTTCTCATGGAGTCTTCATTGTTTTTTCACATTTTCATAAAAATTTCCATCAGATTAACGGAGATGTCCTCCTTCCTTTGTATCCCAGAATATTTAAAGCTATCCTATTCAGAATATCCTATTCAGCCATCTTGCATCACCAGTGAAATTCCTTTCTGTTCAAAGTTTGCTGAAGTTTTTATCATGAATAGTTTTCTCAAATGCTTTTTGTGCATTCATTGGTATAAGCGCATGATCACTGTTCTTTAGTCTGTAATATGATGGATTCCATTAATTTTCAAATGTCAAGCAACCATGTCCACCTGGACTACACAATTCATATTATGAATTGCTGGATTAAATTTGACAACATCTTATTGAGAATTACTGCAATTATGTTCATATTGTATAGTATTTCTTTCTTGTAATTTCCTTGTATATTTTTATTACTACCATAATGTTGGCTTCATAGCATGAGATATGAAATGTTCCTACTTTATTTTGTTTTCTGAAATTGTAAAGATTTTGTATTCTTTTTTCCCCAATATTTGGTAAAATTTATTAATTAACCTATATCAGAAATATGTTTTTTTAAATTATTAATATATATCTATCATTGCTCCTGATCTAGCCAGAGCTATGTTCTTTTGTGTGATATGGGTAAATTATATCTTTCTAGGAATTGTTCCATTTCATCTTCTTATCATAGTTGCCAGCCTAGACCTATTCATGGTCCTTTATTATTCTTTTAATATCCAATGGCAATCTCTAAATGTTTCTGTGTTATTAATTTGTGTCTTTCTTTTTTCTTCTTAGCCTTTGACAGGTTTACTAGTTTTCCACATTCTTTCAAAGAACCAGCTGTTTGTGTCATTGATTTTGACCATTAGTATACAATTTCCAATTCAATTTTCTGCTCTAATTTCTATTATTTCTTCACTTCTTCTTACTTTGTAGTTAATTACTTATTTGTTCTAATTTCTTAAAGTGGAAACACAGACAACTTTCAATAATTTTACTCTTTTATTATTACTTTTTCTCACTGTGCTATTGAGTGTATCATCATATTAATAATATAACTTATTTATTTACATTAGTTTACATGGAAATTTTGCTGTTTCTGTTTGAAAACTATTATAAATTATACTCTTAGAAAGAGAGATACTCCTTTCTTTGTTTCACTCTCCAAATGGCTGCAATAGCTGGAAATGGCCCAGATTAAAGCCAGGAGCCAGGAATTCCAACCTATTCTCCTATATGGGTGACAGGGGCCCATTAGTTTTGTTTATTACCCACTGCTTTCCAAGGCACAGTATCAAGGAGCTGTATTAGAAGCAGAGCAACTGGGAGTTGTGTTGGGACTCAATATGGATGCTGGCATCACAAGTGCTTACTTATTTCACTACACCACAATGCTATCCTCAATTCAATAAAGTTTGTAAATTTCTTCCACTGCTTTCATGCTGTACCTTTTCTTCCATCTGAGAATTATGCAGAATTTCACCTGTATTTTCCCAGTCAATTAAAATGATTATCTAAATATTTCAATGTTAAATGTATGCAAAATTAATTTCATTATTGATTATGGTGGAGAAAAGTATTTTTATTAACGTTATTTAATTATTTTAAAGATTTATTTTATTTTTATTTATATAGAAGGAACTAATTTCATGCACTCATATTCACAGTTTTAGGAGCACAATAAAACTTCCCACCCTTTTATTTCATATTATATACTTCTTTGGTGTCTGATATTTAGTGCAAACCATGCAGTTAATTACTAAAAAGATATATGTTTGTGTATTATTTATTCCACTTACATCATATTTCTATTTTCACTTTTATACAGAGCCCAGAGATTAAAGTTGAATTACAAGAAAAAGGAATTTTTGGGTTTTACTGATTCTTATTTTAATATAGATAAAAAAAGAAAAATATAAGCCACAGAGCACTTTCAGCAGACATTTACAATTCTTCAACTATGCTTTGCATTTTTCACATTATTATGCAAAGTAACAATGCTATTTTGCCATTTGTTTTACTCATTATTATGCAATGTGATAATGGTATCTCTGAAATAAATTTATTAATTTTGAAAATTTTCATGACTGACCGATTTTGAGTTTAGATCCTCAGTTTGACTAGTTGAATATGAGTCAGCTATTTTTAAAGAATTTTTTTCTATGAAACTCATGGCAACTTCTACTACTAAGAATATTTCACTCATTTTATTTATTAATATATTTGTGTAATTAAGAATTAAATCAAAGTTACACATGATTAATTTTCAATGTGATCACATTTCTACTCATTTATGTCCCAGATGAATTTCAAAGGAAAATCTTTCATCTTTCTCTGAAATATCTTGTCAAATCTTTCACTCTGCTCCACAGTCAAATGATGTTTCCAATCTCCAATAGTACCTAGTGAGATAAGAACAGAAAAAGGTAACCATGTCAGCATAAAGATTGCTTCACTCATTGTAACCTTTTCTCTAAGCCACTCTAAATATCTGCTAGCTCTACCTAGGTTTTGATATATCATCTTTCCACATCACGAGATGAGCTAAGAAAATATCATAGGAATGCAGCAACAGTAATTAGAAGGGATCTTTTAAAAGTTCATGGAAAATACATATCATGAAAGAACTACTAAGGGATCTCCAAAATATTTGCAACAAAATACACATATTATTGAGTTCAATTTTCTGTGAAATTAATAAATGTTTATTTATTGAGAAGTAAAGAGAGAGAGAGAGCTAGAAAGGGACAGAGGGAGAGAGATGGAGAGAGAAAAGAATTCCAACTACATTTTCACTCCCAAATGTTCTCTATGACAAGAAGGTATAATGCTGGAGAAAGGAACACAATCCAGGTCTGCCATGTGGTTTACAGAAGCTCAATTACTTGAGCCACCATTGCTGCCAGGTCTGCATTAACAACAAGTGGGAATTGGGAGCTGGTACCTGAAATTGAACCCAGGTTCTCCATTGTGGAACATTTTCTTCTTGGCCACTAGAGTAAATGCCTGCTCCTATGTGAGCATTTTAACATTTTATTTTACTATGTGAAAGACATCATATTAAGTAAACTGTTTATATGTTATATAAGTAATACTTATATAATGTATCATATAATATAGTTCACAGTACAGCTTTACATACGAGTATTTCTTCAGTTTTAAAGGAAAGATGAAACTTCTGATGTTTCAACCAATTGAGTGAAGGTGCCAAAACTGCCATAGATTTTTTATTGGGTAGTACTTTGAATATCATTATGAAGCATAAAAAAATCAATCATAATAATTTGACAAATTTAATGATCATATTCTTGTGTAAACATTAGCATTTGCATTTGGAACAGATATCAAGCTATTATAGACGTGTGAATTACATTACACCTGATCTAGTTGAGGAATGACTAGCAGGAACTGAAAATAAATAGAAATAAAGAAGGAATAGAATTGTTTTCTGCATGAATATCAAGAAATTTCGGTAAGGAGTTTGCACAATTATCCGTAAATAAACATCCATCATCATAATGGAAAATTATTATTAAATTATAGAATAAAATATGAAAGATAATTTCAAATTACATTAGATTGATATCTATAAATTATACTCAGATATTAAAATTTTGAACTTATGGGTTATTGCTGAGTAAAATAAATATATTCACATTAACAGTAACTGCTGGTATATAATAGAAAAACATAATATGTAAAATTTTAGAATAATTGAATTCATAGAAAATCAAGTTAATAGCAGATCACTCTTATTTTATATGGAAGAAATAATAAGCAATGTCCTTTTCTAACATTTTAAAAACACATACTGAGTTTCCAACACAGAGTATTTAATGAAAAATAAAGAAAAATAGAAAAAGGAATTGATCTATTAAAAAAACTGCCTCTTTAAAGCAGAGTTTGCCAAGCTGTTTTCAAGAGATATAGCATGTGGTCTAGAAGGAAGGATTATACTATTCATTAAGCAAAGATCAGTGGTCATGGTGTGTACTAAAACACTTTTGTTTTCCTCAGAAACTGTTCAGAGCTGCTTTCAGTTTGGAGTTTTGCTACCTGTTCAGTCCTAAGTGTCTGTATAAGTTGGAAAGACATATAAGAAACCCTGAATAGTTTACCCTGTGTCCAAATCACAACATTTTTCATCTATACACAACTTAACATCACCTTTCCGCATGATCTGTCCTTCCTGGTGTCTCATCCCACATTGATTTTCTATAATATTAGTATAGTTTGCTTGTGGAATAGACTTCATGTTCTCAAATGTAGCCTGATTCATAACAGCATCCACAACCTCTTCACTCAGTTCTTTCTCAAGAAATCTGCTGATTTTAAGCACTGAGCTTCTGAAATTCTGAAATAGTAATGGTGATGAAAAAATTATTTAGGTTATGAAGAATGCATGAGTTGCAGCCCAACATACACTTTGATCGACAATGAATGCTAAATTGGTTCAAAATTTTAAAACTAATCACTGCAATATACCACATGTACAGAAAGGAGAAATATAATTATCTCAATTGACACAGAAAGAGCATTTCACAGAATTTAATTCTATATTGCGATAAAAACATTCAACAAATCAGGAATAGACTTAATCTTAATCAACATAAAAATACCTATAATTAAATGCTTTTTCAATGAAGAAATCTTAGAATATTATTATATAAATTATGGAACAAGCACAACGGTTTTTCTTCTATTTAATATAATGCTTGAAATAGTAGTCCTAGCAATTAGGAATTAGAAAAATGGCATCAACTTTGGAAAGAAAGAAGTAAAATTATGTCTGTTAATAGACATTGATCTTATGGATCTTATGTAAAAAAAAAAGCTAATGATATCCCCTACAAAAGAAAAATCAACATTACAGGATCCTAAGTCAGCAAAATAATCAGAATAATTTCTAAAAACTAGTAAGTATCAAACATAAAAAGGTATTAAGATAGTTTAAACTACATGAAAAGTATTAATATTCTTAGTAATAAAATTGATCACAAAAGTGAATGACTTATCTATTAAAAAGCACAAAACATTACCAAATGAAAAGAAATGTAACAGAAACAACTGAAACAATATGCTAAGCTCATTAATTTAGAAACCATAGTTTTAAGATTCCAAAATAGCCACAGTTTCAAGGCAGCTCTTGTCAATGTACAAACTATGTATTCTGTAGAGATAAAAATTACATCTTAAAATTTATACTGAGTCTTATGGGATCGTAAAGGCAAATAGGCTTGAGAAAGAATAATAAATTCAGTGTTTGAAAACTTGCTGCAATATCATCATAATCAAAACAGTGACATGATATTTGTAAGCTATGCAACTTATAAAGGATTAATATCCAGTATATATAAAGAGCTCAAGAAATGCAACTGAAACAAAATAAGAAATGCAGTTAAGAAATGGGCAAAGGACATGAACAGGTGTATCTCAAAGGATTAAATTCAAATAATCAACAGACACAGAAAAAATTCTCAGAATTACTAGCTGTCAGGAAAATGCAAACCTGAACTCCAGTGAAGTTTCTCCTGACCCCATTTAGAATGCCCATCATACAAAAATCAATAAACAATAAATACAGGCGAGGATTTGGGGGAAAGGTACCCTAATTGCTTTCTGGTGGGAATGTAAACCAGTATAACCATTTTGTAAGACAGTATGAAGACGATTATCAATGTATATGCACCTAATTACAGGGCACCGATTTATTTAGAAGATTTGTTAAGGGACTTAAAGGGAGACTTAGACCCCAATACAATAGTACTGGGGGACTTCAATACTCTACTCTCAGATCAACAAGACAGAAGATCAACAAGGAGACAGTAGATTTAAATGACACTATAGCTCAAATGGATCTAACAGATATCTACAGAACTTTTCATCCTACACAGAAAGCATTTACATTCTTCTCAGCAGTACATGGAACCTTCTCTAGGATTGACCGCATACTAGGCCATAAAGCAAGTCTCAGCCAATTCAAAAGAATTAGAATCATACCATGCAGCTTCTCAGACCATAAAGGAATGAAGTTGGAAATTAGCAACTCAGGAATCCCTAGAGCATATGCAAACACATGGAGATTGAACAACATGCTCCTAAATGAACACTGGGTCATAGAAGAACTTAAAAGAGAAATCAAAAATTTTCTGGAAGTAAATGAGGATAACAGCACAACATACCAAAACTTATGGGACGCAGCAAAAGCAGTGTTAAGAGGAAAGTTTATATCAATAGGTGCCTACATCAAGAAATTGGAAAGGCACCAAATAGATGAGCTTTCAATTCATCTCAAGGATCTAGAAAACCTACAGCAAACCAGACCCAAATCTAGTAAGAAAAGAGAAATAATTAAAATCAGAGAAGAAATCAACAGGATTGAATAAAAAAAAATTACAAAAAATCAGCCAAACGAGGAGCTGGTTTTTTGAAGACGGTATGAAGAGTACTTAAAAATCTATCATATGACCCAGCTATTCCACTCCCTGGGAATTCATCTAAAGGAAGTGAAGTAAGCATATGAAAGAGCTATTTGTACCCCCATGTTACTGTAGTTCAATTTATAAGAGCTAAGCCTGGATCAATGCAGATGTTCAGAGACGGATGAGTGGGTAAATAATATACACTATGGAATACTACTCAGCCATAAAAAGAATGAAATCCTGTCTTTCGCAAAAAATAGATGAAACTGGAAACCATTATGCTTAGTAAGATAAGCCAGTCTCAGAAAGATAAATATCATATGTTTTCCTGTGATACCTGGCAGTTATATGATACAAAAATATGTATAGGAAAAAAATGAATATTTTGTGGTATGTTTTTTGATTTTTGTCTTCGTTTATACTCCAGTGGAACTGTGGTCTGCTTACTTTTTAAATGTTGTGTATTAATATAGAGTGGATGCAAACTTTTTTCACTGGAAAATCCAATGAAAGGAAAAGAGGAAGGAGGGAAGGAGATCCAGTTGGAGGGAGAGATGGATGGAGGTTTCTTGTAACTGAACAAATGGAATGAATGAAGTTTGTTCTCTTTTATTAATATAATTTTATTTGCTTAAAAAGTGATGTATGCAGCAGTGGAAGAAAAAGATGGACCGATTTAAAGGAACCAAGATCACAGAAGTAAATTTTCACATGTATTGTCAAATGATATATCACAAGTACCAAACTTTCAATGGGAAATAACAAATTATAATGGAAAAATTTTATGTCTACATGCAAATAATAAAATTGTATCCTTATCTAATATCATGTATAAAAATTATTTTAAAAATATGTGAAATATATATGAGAGCTAAATATGTGAAATTCAAGAGATAGACATGGGGGAAATAATTTACAACATTGAATTTGACAATAATGTGACACAGAAGACTCAGATGATGACAGAAAAAATAGATCAAGGCAGGAGCCCTGGCTCAATTGGCTAATCCTTCATCTGCGGTGCCGGACCCCCGGGGTTCTAGTCCCAGTTGGAGCACTGGATTCTGTCCTGGTTGGTCCTCTTCCAGTCCAGCTCTCTGCTGTGGCCCAGAAGGCAGTGGAGGATGGCCCAAGTGCTTGGGCCCTGCACCCGCATGGGACACCAGGAGGAAGCACCTGGCTCCTGGCTTCAGATCAGCACAGTGCACTGGCCACAGCACACCAGCCGTAGCAGCACTTAGTGGGGGGGTAAACCAACGGAAGGAAGACCTTTCTCTCTGTCTCTCTCTCTCTCTCACTGTCTAACTCTGCCTGTCAAAAAATAAAAATAAAAAAAATCAAATGAACTACACTAAAATTTAATACTTCTATACATCACCAGAAACAGTTAAAAATCCATCTATGCGATGAGAAAAATATTGCAAATATATATCTGAGAAAAAAATGTTAATTGGAATACATAAACAACTCATAACGTAAGAACAACACCAGCAATACAATTAAATAACTGTTAAAGGACTTTACATTTCTTCAAAGAAGATGAACAAATGTCTACTAAGCACAAGAAAATATGTTTAACAACATTCATATTGGGGAAGTTTGAATGAATCACAAAAAGATGTAACATGACTTTAGTATGGTTATTCTTTAGTAAAAAGACCAGAAAAGAAAATGGGGCAAACATATGAAAAGTTGGAACTCTTTTGACTATTTGCAGAAATGTAAAAGATACAATTGTAATTTAAAATGGCATGGAAATTCTTGAAAAAATTAAAAATAGAGTTACATAAAATTCAGGATATCTATTTCTGGTTCTATACCCCAAATAGTTCAAAGTAATGTCTCAAAAATGGGATTTCCAAACATCATTGAAATTACATCCAGTAAAAATAGTATGCATGAATTTCAAAAACTTGTTGATGAAAAAGTACATTTATTAATTTTATTTTCCACAAATTTTTGTTATGTCTTCATATATATACACTTATGTTCATTTTTTTTTTTGACAGGCAGAGTGGACAGTGAGAGAGAGAGAGAGAGAGAGAGAGAGAGAGAAAATTCTTCCTTTGCCATTGGTTCACCCTCCAATGGCCGCTGCGGCTGGCGCGCCGTGGCCGGTGCACCATGCTGATCTGAAGCCAAGAGCCAGGTGCTTCTCCTGGTCTCCCATGGGGTGCAGGGCCCAAGCACTTGGGCCATCCTCCACTGCACTCCCTGGCCACAGCAGAGAGCTGGCCTGGAAGAGGGGCAACCGGAACAGAATCCAGTGCCCTGACCGGGACTAGAACCCGGTATGCTGGCACTGCTAGGTGGAGGATTAGCCTATTGAGCCGCGGCGCCGGCCTCACTCATGTTCATTATTTACAATCACTAAAATTACAATTTACAATCACTAAAACATGGAGGGAGCCAAGTGTAAATAGATTAATGAATATAAAATGATACTGTATACATAAATGGAATATTATTCAGGCTTTAAAGGAAGGTAATTCTGATACATGTTAACAGTGGCACATAAAGAGATTTTATGTTAAATGACATGTCAGTCTAAGAAAAAAAAAATTAGGGACTTGGATCAGAAGCGGAATAGCCTGGACTCAAATGATGCTGGTATTGTAAGCTCCAGTTTATCCTACTATACCACAATGCCAACCCCTAAGAATGATTTTTAAAATAAACATGTTATTTTACTCAAGGAGCTAAAAGACAGTACAAAAAATGGTGCCAGACTAGTATTATAAGTGTCATAGCTGATTAAATATAGATCCCAATTTCTGAACAGAAATGAAAAGCTAGCAGAGTAAATTTTATAGCAGATCAAACAGAAGTGAATACAGCCAAGACTGACCTTAGAGCAAGGGACATAATGACCCATTGATAATTATGCATCATGTAAAGATAAAAAAGAGATGGTTATCTACAAACAGAATTT